CGCACATCGGCACATGTACAGTAATTTTATCAGCCAAATGAATGGTTATGAATCACGAATGGTTTCATTTGTGTAAACAAATTAAATACCCAAATGAGTAAATACCCAAATGTAACAATTTATCCCCGTAATAATGGCGCTACGTCACCATTTCGTTTATAAAGTTACTAATGGCTCGATCGTGACTAAAACACCACACGAGTACATACGAGTAACATACGAGTAACACACAAGTACATACGAGTACATACGAGTAACACACGAGTACATACGAGTAACATACAGTACATACGAGTAACACACAAGTACATACGAGTAAAACACAAGTACATACGAGTACATACGAGTAGAATACGAGTACATACGAGTAAAATACGAGTAGTAAACTTGTTTTTAGTGTTTGTAGATTGAATACAGGCAAAAAGATCGTCTTCTCTGTCGAAAAACGTGGAATGGGGGAACGGGCAATGGGGGAATGGGGGAACGGGCAATGGAGGAACGGGGAATGCGGGAACGAGGAACGGGGGGGGGGACAGGGGAATTATGAATTATTATTAATACGTAATATTAATCATATGTACGGGGGGAAAAAGAACAGAAAAAAGAAACAGAAATTCGACAGGATAAACGGGAATCGGGGAATTACGAAACTATAAAACGGACTCTGGTGTCTTGGGAATTTGAAAACCGCTCAATGAATTAAAACTAGTAAAGAAATTTAGCGAAGCTTTCCTTTATTAGTACAGCGTATCATAAAAAGTCAATCCACATTGCTTATGTCCGATCATTAAGTAATATTAATAATAATATTGCTTATGTCATTACTAATATACTTGCTATATAATAAAACAAACTTAAGGACTAGATGCAAGTCCAAGGCAGTCCTTATGCTCCATATGATATCTTAAAGTGATTATCCTATTTTAAATATTTTACAAAGCAAAACTAACAAAACACAAAATACTTCAAAAAACGCAGATTTTAAGCTAGCAATTTAAGTTGGCAAGTACGTTCCTAAAGGACCCAGCCGAACTCTCCTGCAAGCCTTTGGACGTGCTCCACCTTGAAAAGGGAAGGAAAGTCTGGAGGAACGAGAACGTCGCCAAGAAAGCTTGGATACTTTGCTCTGATGCAGGCTGATCGGAAATGAAAATGCACGTTCTGAGGCTCACTTGAAAACTGGATTTGTCCTGCAGGGCCTTTTTTAACATATAAGTTGGGGGGCCATTTGACCCCCCAGTCCCTCCTTGTGCCCCCCCCCCCTCCCACGAAATCACATTTTGCCCCCCCCCGGAAAATGTCCCTTTTTCCTAAATTTATACAAACAAACCAGCGAAGAATAACAAATTGATAAACGGAACGTAAGTTTAGGCTTTATCCTTTGTCCTTGTTTAACAAAATCGATTTAAAGGACTGTGTCACCGCGTGCGCATCCTACGTGTTTCTAACACTAAGTAATGATAAATTATTGTTAATATTTTTTAAATTCTTTGTGTGTTTTTTCCTTCTTTTATTTCAAATAGAAGTATAGTTAGGATAAATTTTAGAAAATTTAGATGCTCAGACGGCAGGAAATGGCATTTTTGGGCTTGAAATTTCAAAAATTTTCTGGGGAGTTAATGCCTCCAGACCCCCCTATTCATTCGCGGTATGTCGGCCACACACGTGACCCACGGCCATTGCTATCCCCCTTTAATAATAAGTAATGGATAAATTATTGTTAATATTTCTTTTATTTTTTCTGCATTTTTCCTTCTTTTATTTCAAATACAAGTATAATTAGTATAAATTTTAAAGCAAATTTAGAGGCTCATAAAGCAGGAAATGGTATTTGAAAGGTTCAAATTTAAAACATTTTCTGGGGGAGTATGTCGGCCACACACCGTGGCCGTCGGCCATTGCTATCCCCCTCTAATATATTATCTAAGATCCCTTTTCAAAAAATGCCCCCCACGGGAAAATCCTTAAAAAAGGCCCTGTTGTCCTGTATTTCGGTCTCGGAACTGTCGTATGTCGTCACGGTATAAGTTAACTGTGTAGTTCGTATATTTGCCTAGCCACATGTTGTGATTGAGGCTATGTGAGGATTGTAAGTTTATCACCTAGTACTATTTAAGTATAGATGAAGTTAGGTTATGTGCATGCTCACAGGGTTTTGAAAGCAAACCATGCCGTGAAATATGTGAAGCCTATGGTTTGTGTCATGTATCTAACTATCTAGGTAGAATACCTAAAAGTAGATGTTGTACAAACTACAAAGTTGTGGTTTATAGAATCTGGCAGACCTCCCCCGCCCCCTGTCTCCTATTTCCTCCCCCCTCGCCCCTCCATTTCACTTCCCGTTCCCCCACTTCCCGTTCTCCCATTCCCCGTCCCCCCATTCCCCGTTCCGGGTTTTAAAGATAGCCGGTTTCAGTCTATTTCACGTTTTTCGACAGAGAAGACGATCTTTTTGCCTGTATTCAATCTACAAACACTAAAAACAAGTTTACTACTCGTATTTTACTCGTATTCTACTCGTATGTACTCGTATTATACTCGTATGTACTTGTGTTTTACTCGTATGTACTCGTGTGTTACTCGTATGTACTCGTATGTTACTCGTATGTACTCGTATGTTACTCGTATGTTACTCGTATGTACTCGTGTGTTACTCGTATGTACTCGTATGTACTTGTGTGTTACTCGTATGTTACTCGTATGTACTCGTGTGGCGTTTTAGTCACGATCCTAATGGCTCAGCAAATATTCCCTTTTTAATAATACAAGTCAACGTAGCGCCATTATTACGGGGATAAATTGTTACATTTGGGTATGTTACTCAAATGTAACAATTTCTCCACGTGATGAATTTGTTTACCCAAATGAAACCATTCGTGATTCGTAACCATTTGGCTAATAAAATGACTGTACATGTGCGTATGAGGCGCGAGTCTCTGGGCGCAAGTTGTCAAAGACAGATCATTCTATACCGAAATTCCTTCCCTTTCCTCCCTTTTTCTTTAGTTTTTACGTGCTGTCATTTTCGATCATTTTCTTAATAGATTAGTTTTGTTTAAGGATGGGAGAAGGTTGCACCTTTTCTGTTACAGTAAAACTGTTAATTTGTAGATATTGTGCACATTGAAGCAAAAGGAACGAGTTAGGATTCTATCTATTTTATAATTAAAATATTGTTTGTTTTGTTGTGGATAAACGATTCGCTAAAAGTAATTACCTGTTGTTAAATTTAATATTAATTTAATATGAAAAACCTAAAATATACCTAAAATACGATAATAGTTGTGTTTGTTTTTGATAATCGTATTACATTAGCGATATATAAGTTCTTTTTGGGAAAATTTCTGTGCTTTGGCTTTTATGTATTGAAAATTTGACAATTTAATATTGCACTCGTTGACATACTTCAAAAGTCGGGGCTTAACTCGAGCAACAACTTTTTTGTCAAATTTCGAGTCAAAGCCGTCCATCGACTATTAGTGGAGTCCCTGAGGTAAGGGAGGGTGGCATCATAACTGCGATGAATGTGGGATGGGTGTCACCTATGGGCACAACATTTTTAAGCCAAAAAGATCTTTTTATTGGTCTTTTCAAAGTAGTCTGTTTAATTCTAAGCCAAAAGGATCCTTTCAAAAGGGCTAGATCCCGGCAATTTGACGGTGTTCGTCTGAATTAGGTTGCATGTTTTATGCTCCTTCAGAAATCCGGCATAATTTGTCAAGAATGACTGGCTTGTTTTCAGCTGGCGTCGAGCAGGAAAATCGGAATAGATAAGATAAAAACTTTATTTCAGGTGCGTATAACACCTTACAATATAAACTGGTGGCCCTCCAATGTAGTATCGCTATAGTAAGCATGGATAATAACAAAGATTAAGACTGTGATGCACCATGCATGGTATCCCACTATCCCCGCTCGTTTATTAACTGAAAGCGCAGATTGCTCCTTCACTTCTCAATAACTCTACGTTCTGCGCACTCACTTTTATTCAAGAAACTTCATGTAAGTTATTTGTAAACACTTAAGGAGGCTCTGCGCAAAACATTCTCTAACCCCTCGAAATTATCGGGAATTGCTTGACCCCCTCGGAAATATTTGGAAATTTCTTGACCCCATCGAAAATTTTTGGAAATTTCCAAACCCCATCGGAAATTTTCGGGAATTTCTTGACCCCATCCGAAATTTTCGCGAATTTCTTGACCCCCCTCAGAAATGTTCGGGAATTTCTTCACCCCCTCAGAAATTATCGGGAATTTCTTGAGCCCCTCTGAAATTATCGGGAATTTCCTGACTCCCTCAGAAATTTTCAGGGATTTTCCTGACCCCCTCGGAAATTCTCGTCAACAGGTAGTGCCCCTTCAGAAATTTAAAAAAAAATTTTGATCCCTTCAGAAATTTTGGTTTTACAACACCCCTCGGAAATTTTCAACTTGGAACCCCCTCAGAAATTTCAGAATTTCAGAACCCTTCGGAAAATCTCGTCAACAGGGGGGTGTGGATATTAAATGGAATGGCCCCCGTTGAATTCGAAGATTCCTATTTTGAGTAAAAATTATAGAAGCGTTTTAAGGCATGTGAGATTGCAGAAGGAACTGATTGAAAAAGAGCAGGCACAGGTGTCGAGTTTGAAGAAGGATTTGGATGCGCTGAAAGCTACGGAGACAAGAAAGGCCTCAACTTCAACGTTTGATCGGTTTGAATCATCTCTTCATGCTGAACGCCCAGTTTATAGTGGGAAAAGTGACTTGAGAACTACGATCACAACACCAAAAGGGACTAAACGAAAAGGCGAGTAGTAATAGGTTTTATTATTAGCAGTAGAAAATATTTTAAAATATTTGTTTTGCTTGCACAGTTGCATTGGCCGTTGTCTTATAAAAATATATATATTTCTCTGTAGTTCGACCTTCACGCATTCATTTTCAAGGAACTCTCAAAGACATATTGCATGCTAACATCGTTAAAAAGGAAGGTCATTTGCTAAGTGTTGACCTGTTGTTACAGCGCCTGTATACATATGGCTCTCTGAAAGGGATTGGCACCAGGGAACTTCTTATAGAGGTGTCCAAACTATTTGGCAAAACTATAAGCTACAAAGGAAAACAAAAAAAGTAAATATTTAAAAGGTTTCTATGAATTCTAATATTATATATTAGCAATTTTTAAAACTGTAGTTTCCCATTTTGTCAAAATCACAGTATTATACTTTTGGAACTGACTTATGTTGATATCACAAATATTAATAATTCATTAAATCAGTATCATTCAGCATGGTTTGTTGGTTCTGTTTTTATCATATAGGCGCTATTATGATGGAATGATTTTGACCCCAAGAGGTTCACCAAAAAGTGTTGGAAAAAAAGGTATGAGGAATGCTTGTCCTGTTTTCAAGCTGGTGCCGGAGGGCCATAGTTTAATTCAAGCATGACATCATGCTTGTTCATACAGGGGTCGAAATTCCCGCTATTCTGAATATAGTAAAATGCCTGACGGAATAGTAAACTTTATGATCACAGTATTCCGTTTGTATAGTAGAAAAAATTGTGGTACCAAATATCGACAAGCAAGGGTTTTCCTCCTGTATAAAAATCCCTTTATACCGGACTTTGAGCCACTGTTTCACTTCATAGCTAAGTTCTTGTTTGCTTGCAGTACTTGCATATTCTAATTTCTTTGCAGCAATATTAACTTAATTAACTTTCCTACAATAACATGACAGTCAGACAGACTGCCACCGGCCTGCCCTGTCGTCAAAAACAACTTTAGCGTTTAGTTTTTAGGACTCAAACATTATACAAAATGTGGCGGTATGTATCGGGCGTAGAAGATGTATATTAATGTACATGAATAGATGATTCAGATTAATAGTTAATTACTGAATGATTCATTGAATGTGAGATGTTTTGTTTTTTATTAATAATTTGTTCATCACTGTACAGAGCAATGCACTGTACATGTTTATTTTTTGTTATTCAATTATTCAGTTCACTAGTTTAGGAGTCTCAAGGATGATTTCACGAAAATCAGAACATTAGCGCGGACCCTGCATGAACAGGCTCTCAGAAACAGTAAATTAAAGAATAGTGGATCTTCAGACGGAATAGTAAATTTCAAAATCTACTATTCCGGCTGTATAGTACAAAAAAATTTAAATTTCGACCCCTATCATACCATTTTCTATTATTTTATAGCTTCATTTACACACCCAAATAGTTGTAAGACACGATTGTCTTTTGAAGGTATTGTAAAAGAAACTATTATGTAAAGCAAGAGATATATTTTCTATTTTGAAACCTAATTAGTTACATTGTACATGTCAATTGTGTTACAATACATCTCCTGGATTGCATTAGACATCCCAAAAACAAAAACAAACCATTGCAAAACAATGCAAATTGCATTTGAAACAATACCTGTTATTAATAATATTTTAAAATCTATAGTGCTGTAAAAAATAAATATAATGGCGACATATATAAACATGCAATGTATTGTCATATCATCACGTATAACTATACATTTATTAATTTAGGAGTTAAAACAGGTAGTAGCAGTGTTTCTACTTCAAATATAGACAGTATTATGGATGAATTTGGAGCAATGGAAATTGTAGGTGTGTATGATATTATAGCAAATGTTTGTCACTTCAAAAAATCCATAGTGTATCTAAGTATTTAATTTGTTTGTTTAAGGGTTTACACATTAAGTAGCCTTTCTCACGCTGCCATTTTTGTGGTACTACCTTTTCCAGATCTAAGATTGTAATCAATGAATATGGGATTTGTATAACTATTGTTGCGAGTATAGTCATTATAAGTTAATTTACAGTTAAACATTTGAAAAATTGCTTTCACATCGCTTAGATTTTTCACCAATCATTTACAAAAAAGTACCCCAAAAATGGCAAATTTGGCCTTCATGAGAAAGGCTAATTAACATTTGTTGGGCTGATTTCAGGTTTTGCTGACTATTAATGATAGTTTACATACATGTCAGTTGTTGATCAATTCAGATGATGTAACCGCATACATTTCAAATATCATTGATTTAATTAGAACCAAAATTGTCCGACAAATGGCTACACTGCAGTACTATAAAAGTTGTTGTTGTTCTTGATGTTGTTGTCATTTGTGGTTGTCGTCATCATTCAGGGCCGTTGCGAAGGGATATGGATTGGGGGGGTGTCGAAGGTCAAATTGCCAAGTGACGCTAGTTGAATTTGCCGAGTTTTTCAAAAGTTTGTAAAGGTTAGATATAGGTAATGAGAATCATATTGGTGTGCTGGTAACTGAGGGACACCAATATGGCTCTTGTTTTGAAATGGATGCCTGTCCGTGGGTTGTTGCTTTATATTAAACATATAAAGCTGAAAAATATTTAAATTTAACATAATTTCACAAGTCCTAAATCCAGACTGAAACTATGTGCACACGAGTCACGTTTTTGAGCGTTTTTGCAGTGCCGTTTTCAAATTAGCGTTTAGGCGCCTTGTTCACATTGATCGTTTTTCTCGCAACATTTTCTGAGAAAGCACTAGTTTTTTATAGTCTTCGTTTCCAAATTCAAACACGGAATTTCATTTTCGCCTTCTACTTTTCTGTTTACACAATAACAAAGTGCCAAAACGACGAAACGTTTCAGACATAGAGAACGAATGTTTGGCATCGTTTTCACTATTCGAAACGTTTTTGCTTCCTGACGTCGTTTTCATACGTTTTCGTGTGAACAGAACGTACATGAAAATGGCACTTTCAGTTTGAGAAATTAACGCATTAATTACAACCAAAAACCGAAAAACGCTCGGAAACGGTATGGTGTGCATATAGTCTGAGTAACGAGTGTCTTAGACTGTGGTGCAGACGCGCATCTCCGCAAAGTCAGAAAAGTTATCCAAGTATTACCCTGGTTCCAGAGGTTTATTTTTATTATTTTCATTGCAAAGGGGAGAGGAAAAATAAACCTCTGGTTGAAAGCGGCAATTAATTCATTGAGCCGCGCCAATCAGTTTGAATTAGGGTCAGATCCTGACTCTGTCTCCTGATTGGATGATCGTATTAAAGCTCTCTGATTGGTTATAGATGTTCTATTTGAACCAATCAGAGGACTTTAAGTCTTTAATACAATCATCCAATCAGGAGACAGAGTCAGGATCTGAACCTAATTCAAACTATCGATCAATTGGCGCGGCTCATTGAATCAATTGCCGCTTTCAACCAGAGGTTTATTTTTCCTCTCCTCTTCGCAATGAAAATAATAAGAATAAACCTCTGGAACCAGGGTATCCAAGTATCTGCATGTGATTGCATTGATATTTTGTTTCAATATTTTCATGGCAATTTGATGAATTTGACCTTTTTTATCCCCAGGCGTCGAATAGACAATTTATAATATTTTTTGTATTTTGAGCAGTCTTTAAAACTCTTAGTGCCGGATAGTGTTAACTGGGCTTTTGTGCCTCTTACGGTAATCGTTGGGCCGTATGGTAGATAACTTTTATGGTTAATACGTTTTCCCTCGTAAAATAAATAATAAAGTTTCTATAGTCGTCAAAAATCGAATTACATTCAAGACACTAAAGTTTTATTCTTTTTCTTTTGGGTTTTGAACCGCGCATAATTGATAAAGAGCCTTCGCTATAAGAGCAGTTGAGCGAAGAACATGCCCGGAAACGTGGGTTTCACATTTCAGCCTCCCGTCGATTTTCGACAAATAAAAGACTAATAGTATTACTAGAAAATAGAAATACATTTAAATGGTATAAGGCCACACAAACCATTATTTTAAATCCAAAATTTATTGCTTTATTTATCGCCTTCGTTCTTAACTTTTACAATTTACTGAATGCCGAATTCGCAATCTGCCGAACAGTAACGAAGCAATTTGCCGACTGGGGCCGACTTGCGAAAATTATTGGGGGGTGAAGCACCCCCCCGCTCGCGACGGCCCTGTCATCATTGTTGTTGTTAGAAATTATTTTCAAAAATGTCTGTTAATGAAATTTTGACAAATGTGTAGTGCGTATATATTTTGTAGATGAATCACACTCAACAGTTGAATCAACAAGTGACACTCAACTTGCACTTCAGGCCGAAGTGCCATGTTTCCAAGATAAACCCCAAAATGCTGAAGAGGCAACATGTTTGGATGAGTTTTCTAGTCAAAACAAGGAACTTAAGAAGCACATTAAAACTGTTACGGATCAGTTTTCAGAATATGTGGCATTGTCTGAGAAAATCATTGGCAAACAAAGCTATATCATAGAACTTTACCATCACATTGTCACCAATGGTGGAACACTTGGGGGGCTGCTGTCATTGTCAGAAAGATGTGAAATAACAAATGAGATCAAGAAAGTTAGAGGCATATTTAATCTGGGAATTAGAATAAGGAAGTTAAAGATCTTGTGCCAATTTTTAAACCAACACTTTTTAATACCTTGATGGAAAAATGCCGTTTTTGTCAAATACGAACCCGTGAGTTATCGCTCTTCTCCAGCAAGCATGGAAAATATGCACATGTCTGCATGACCAAATACAATAGAAAAAGAGACTTAAATAAAAAGAACTATCAATGGCAACTTAGTGTTGTCTATACTCAAACGAATAGTATTCAGATTCTATAGATGAACAGTATTCTTATGCATGTGTGTGGTTTAATAAAACACAAAAAGGAGATTCGTGTGTCGGTTTAACTGTTACGCTATCGTTTATTTTATTCTAACCAGTGAACTGAATAGAACTGGAACGCTACCTTCACCTGGAAAATTGAAGCCAAATTTTACCTCAAGACACGCGTGTTTGACCTCCTGACACGCGTGGGAATCCTGACACAAAAAGAAATCGCGTAACACAAACACGTCTGTCTGGAGGTAAAACACGCGTGACTGGAGGTAAAATTTGGCTTCGTGTGATCATAGACTGGTTTCTATTGCTAACTCATTTTTTCACTCAAGAAACATCAACTGTTTTAAATTTTTCACTTCCGTTTACTTTCCATGCATTATTTGAAAATAGGTCATGAATCTATGATTGCTTGGTGAATAGTGAATTAATTACATGCATGCATGTAAAATTTTGTATTGTTCAAACAGCACGTATATTAATTAATGTATAACTTTAGATCCGTAAGCCCAGATCTTCATCAGTGATAAACTGATAATAATAAATTTTAATTTACACGCCTCTTGATATATATATGAAAAGCTTAGTGATATGTTGGCTCCCATCATTTGAAAGTTATTAGAGAGGTTCAGATTTGGCCTCCACCACCACTATAGCCTGAAGTGGACTGGAGCACAGGCTACCACCACTATTGCTACTATTCAGAGACCACGAACCAATCAGATACGTTTAGTCCTCCCGAAAAACCAATCACATGCGTACTAGGTCAGGAAAAGGTAGCGGTAGTGGAAGTCAAACCTGAACCTCGCAAATTAAACGGTCACATCAACGCACGCGCATGCAAGACAATAGTGAATTGAAATTGAAAGTCATTAACACTGATAGATATGGGCATATGGATCGAAAGCATTGCACTAATAAATATGCGTGGTGTTTCTACAAAACAAAACCTTAACTCATTGTTCACCGTATCCTCCTCCGCATGCAACTCTGAAACCCCACAAATGAGACATTGTGGAGAGCTAAATAAGAAATAGTTGATGGATAAAGAGGGACGTCATTTAGTATCAGTAATTTAATCATTTTTCTGCTAGAAAACCATCCACAACACAAAAAAGAATGGGAAAGTTTTAAGGAGATAAATTTGCTGAGGAAAATGGATGTAGCTCTCAATACAGTCCATATTGACCAAAGTGTTTTGAAGTCGATGAGCAGTGAGAAAATGAAGGAGTTTACTTCAGCCGAAGCAAGTTCAACCAAAAAGTACGAGATTGATGTTTCTCCAATACCAGAGGAATTTCCTGATATGGGGACCAAAGCTGCAGATATTTACCCGTTGCCTTTGTCGCATGAAAACCAGTGTACAACTCTTGGCGTGGCAAATAACCTTGAATTGTTTCAAGAGGAATTTGATTTTAAAAGCAACAAGAATGTGAAGTATTTACCGCTGAAGAGCTCTGGAAAAGAGTTCGATTTGGAGCAGGCTTATAAACGGTTTGCATTTTTGCGGAAACTGGACAGGCATAAAGAACAACAGGAAAAGTACGAGAATACATTGCGTAGTTGTACGTCATCTGAACAGTCTGACCACGTTGAAGAAGCTTTTGTAGTTGTTGAGAGTGAAAGCGAAGACAGTGATGATGAATAATTATATTGTAAAATAAAACGTATTTTCAAGCATTTGCCCATACGAGTTTACTTAATTGTTTTGGGGAGAAGAGGCATTTTCCACCTGTTTCGTAAGCTCATGGCTGAGAAATAGCAACTGCTTTGTTGATTCTATACTTATCCGCAGGCAACTCTCGAAACACTAGTTTAGTTAGGCAGAGTTGAAACACTAGTAAGGGAGAGACAAATACCTCATTATTTCTCTGCAACTATATCTCCCTGACTTGTTGTCTTATGCTTATGCTTGTGCTCAATCCCTCCCCAACTAGTTTAGTAGTGTTTCAAGAGTTACCTTCGGATGATAGAGGCCAGGTTATCCCCAAAAGCATCCCTGTATATAAAACCTTATTGCATCTTTATTTACAATTGGCTTATTTTCCACTAAAGTCAATCCATCATTTAGTCCATGCATCTTCACATTCGTGAATATGGCACATTGATATGATCAGTCATCTATTTTAATTTACATCATCGTACGGTTACCACGGCTCTTCCGCAGGCAACTTTTGACTTTTTGTCTATCCCTATCTAGTGTTTTACTAAGTCTCTCTTTACAGCTCAGATATGTCTCATTTGTCGTTCAATGAGTTGTGTGCAGAGGAGTCTATCCTTTGCCTGTGAGTTGTTTTATACCCAAGTCCTCATAATCAAAGCTTTCAAGCCGCACTGACATTGTCATAGCCCTAGGCACGCCAGTCACCAAAACTACACCGACGTACGTCGATAATGCACGCTTAGCGTATCTACTTTTTGTGTATAAACTAACCCGCGAACAGGCTAGGAGTTAGGTTTATTCACTTTATTGTTGATTTCAAAAATTGCTTTAATATTTCGAAAACAACATTTTGTTACGAGTAGTCAGTAAAATTTTTAACTTTCAGCTCATCTATTGTATTACCAAAAACGGCAAACACAATTTGCATGTTATCCTTGTTTACCTAACTTCTTTAAGACAACACACAAAGACCAAGACCGAAAAAGTCATATTTAATGACTGCTCTATGTCATCTGCCACGACCATATTGAAGATTGCTAGTTCTAAAACTGATGCAGGTTGAACGGCTTAGTTGGAGTGAACTGGTACCTCACATAGGAATAGAAGAGGTTAACGACGAGCTCGATAAGCGAACTACCAGAATATTTGACGATTTACGTCAAGTGGCCTCCGTTTGCAACGAAGATGGAACTTTAATTGTAAGACTAAAAGCACGGAAAAATGAATTTATTTTGGCACGCGATCAATATCTCAGGACAGTTCTACATCTTGCAGCCGGCATTGGACACACAAGACTTTTAAAGTGTTTGGTACACGCAGGAGCACCTATAAATGTTCGTGACGGAATTGGCCAGACTGCTCTAACTATATCGCTTCACAAAAATAATGATGCAGCGAGTGTCTTTCTTATCGGAAGTGGCGCTTGTGTTCAGGAATACTACTACGAAAATACTGTTTCTCCACTGGCAATTGCAAAGTTGCACAAAAATGATGACATCGTCGAATTTCTGGAGAAACGTATCGGAGACGAAAAAAGAGTGTTAGATCACGTTTCTAAATTTTTTCCTAAGAAAATTTCTGGTTCACCCGTGGATATGAATGTTGATCATGTCAACCATAAAGAGAATTTTTCACGTGCACTGAACATAAACATTGGTGACCAAAAAAACACGGTGACTGTTATTGGTTGTGCTAACGCTTGCCCTGATATTTATGGTTGCCACACCCCAGGTACGGGAGATTTTCATAATCGCGGATACCTTAATGAGACAGTGGCCAGAATAGGAGGGCAAGGAGGTTTTTGGCATGTTGTCGAAAACGTTATGAAGAGACCAACAGTTAACCCGACGTCCTTCAAGCAAAAATTCAAGGACAACAATTATAACAATAACGAGGAGGCACTATACGACTACGAGGACGGATTGAGTATCGCTATGATTAAAGAATTTGAAAAATCCTCCTTTTTTCCAAGTAAGTCCGATCTGGCTTCTTGTCTTCTTAAAACTGGTAACCACAATAACGTTTTATTGTCAAAGTTTAAAGAGTGGCAGGAAAGCTCAAAAGGAGACGCGATATTTAACTACCAAGTAAATCTTGTAAATGATCTTATTCCACTAAGCTGATGGTACAAAGAATCGATTAGAAATGGCAATGGTCACGCAATCGAGGCTGTGTGGATGCTCTGTCCCGAGTTATATGCCCAAATAGGAAAGACAAATTATAGGGACGAAAGCTTAATTCATATTGTAAATTTCGCTACTAAATGGCCATTAGCTTACAGAAAACTGTTTCAGAGAAATAGAACAGTAAATATAGAAGGAATACAAGGGAAACAACTCGCAGGTGACGAGTGGGTTGAAGACCATCTTGTTTACCCAGTGAAAAAGTATGCCAAAGGCCAAACGTCTTTCTCCGTTTTAGAAATGATGTCATGCAGTTCAAATTTGTTGGAGCTGGATAGAAAGATGTATAAATCCCGCGAGGCGTTCAACATTCACAGAACAAGAAGGCACTGTATACCCCCATCACTGTATGACCAACTAAAGGTAGCCCAGTTTGCTTCAAAGGAAGAGTGGTTTGTGGTTAAAGGCCGTACTGTGGTTTATAAATACGCTTGGGGTGAGAATACGTTAAAGGGAGGAGAAGCAGTTTCATCCAGATACATTAACGCTAGAACGAAGGGAAAAGAAAAACTACAGTTAGAATTTCTTTCCTTTCTTCACAGAAAATTCCCAAATGAAATGAAGTAGTGCATAAATAACTATATGGACTGATGGGTCGGCCTTTTTCAAGGTTTTGCTCAATTATTAGAGGTTCATATTATTTTACAGAACGTAGACAACGAATGGACAGTTCTATTAATACAATAACTTCATATTAACAAAAATTTAAGTAGTTTTGATTTCTTGGGTTACACCCATTGCTTAGAGGGTGTTGATATGGTTTATAATAGAGCTGAAAAAATTATACTGTGTTGTTTATGAAATTTTATGCATATAATACAAATGCATTACAAGCATAAATGTGTCAAATGATGGCGTTTAAGGAGGCATTCTTAAAAAGGGAAAGGTGTGCAATACAAAAAAGGGTTTTTAAAATCCCTATCCCATATTATAATATACCAAGAAAAGCCAATGGTCTTGATATATTTTTCAGGCAGTTTGATCATACAACCCTCAAGCATTTCCTTTTATATATAAAGTGTACATGTGCCTAAAGTTTTTCATACTTTGGGACATATACAGTAGAAGCCAACAGGTTATGTGCATTTGGTCCTAGACAAATGGATATGGATACACTATTTTTCTTTGTTTCTACAGTTTCTGACAAAATATCTTTGTAAATAAGTAAGTGTATGAATTTCTCAAGAAGGATAACAGGAACAAATTGCTTGCTCAGCACACCAAAGTTTAAAAAGCTGTCCAGGTTACTTTCTAGGATACATTTCTGCCTACTTCCAGCCAAAAACAACTTAAGAGTGTTTCCACTTAATTTCTTGCCTGTAAGTTCAATTACAGTAAGGCATCTGTTGTTCCATCAGCTGTTACATACTTTCCCCTGCTGCGGCAGTTATCACAACTTGTGTTACATGTAAAACCATCACATTTTTCACCATAATATGTTCTAATTATTTTATGTCTGCATTGTACAGGGTCTTCAAGACAAATGACAATATCACTAAGTGCCTTGTACTGCTGGTCAAAATTATCATGGTGCTTGAACATGCTAATTAAAGCAGTTCTATCACTATAATTGTAATATATGCAGCAGGTTGCAGGTTCTCCATCACGGCCAGCCCTTCCAACTTGTTGGTAATAATCATCAATACTGGTTGGCAACTTGACATGAACAACATATCGAACGTCTCGTTTATCGATGCCCATACCAAAAGAAGAATTTGCAATGATTACATTTACTTCACCACTAATCCATTTTGAAAAGCTTGACTCCTTTACACTCTCAGACAACTTACCATGATATTTCACACAGTTCAAACCTCGTTTCACTAGTTCAGAGTGGATTTTAGTGACATCATTTGAGAGAACACAATATATTATGCCACATGATGCTTGATCTTTTATGTATGAATACAACTCGTCATAAAACTTGGTATTACATTGCCGATCCTTAACTTCAATGAAAAGATTATTCTGGAATACTGTTTCTCGCAGAACTGTTACACTTCCAAACATTTCTTTCAGAACTGCCACTTGAAACTCTGGAACTGTCGCACTCAACAAAAGTTTTGGACATTCAAGACCACTCAGTTTCTGACATACAACCTTATATACTGGTCTAAATGTATCGCCCCAAGATGATATTGTGTGGGCTTCATCAAAAACAAGTCTTTCAATCTCAATAGTTTCAAATTTCTCCTTGAGACATCCTTCATACAGCATTTCTGGTGTTGTAAAAATAAGTTTAAATTGTGGTAATTTGTCTAACTGTTCATTTTGGACAGTCAACGGTACACTTCCAGTGAATTTGCAACAGGAAATATTTAAATCTTGGCAACGAATCACAAGGTCATCAATAAGGCTTTTTGTAGGTGAAACAACAAGCGTTGGCCGGGATGCAAGCACAGCTGGTAGCATAAAAGTCAATGATTTCCCACTGCCCATTCCCAAAACTCCAAGAACATTTTCTCTTCTCAATGTTGCAGTAATTATTTCTTTCTGAAGTGGTCTAAAGTTATCGAATCCAAAATAATCGTTAAGTGTCCTGTTTAATAGCTCCTCTAAGTCATTTGAAATAGTGTTCACGCATTGGTCCAAATTGTTTATATCAGCAGCTGGTTCTGGTCTGACTTTCTCGCCGAGTTGACTTGCTGAAGTATGATTTTCACGTTCCACATTTTCGTCGGCTCTCCCAGCGAATAAAGACTTAACAACTATCGGGTGTTTGAATTCTCCTTCATTAAAAAGATCGTAATAACAAATTCGACCTTCTTCGTCCTCGCAAACGAACGAAACGGATTTTGTGTTCGAGTCTATAAAGCCCAAATAGCATAAACCATATCCAAAACTAACTGCCGCCTCGAATTCTGAACTCGCTTGTACAACAATGTTGACTCCCTGCCCATTTAATACGAAAGACTTTACATTTTCAGGGTCAAGAGGAAGAATTGATTTAAGTTTATCAGACAGCTTCTGAATTTTGCTTTCGCACTCTTCAAACGTCGCCATTTTGTGATAAACAATACTATACTTATGGGGGGAAGGGTGAAGTACAAAGTCCTGTAGGTGAAGTACCTGGTACATAAGGCTCCCGATATGGCAGGCAACTCCGCCTTTTCTCCTCGCCTCACTTTTCCCCCAATTTTCCCTCTTTATCCCTCAACTATCCCTTACTGTAACTATCCCTGAATATCCCTCATGTGTTTCAAGAGTTGCCTGCGGAGGAGGCTATCTTCATTTGTTGTTCACTGTTAGTAAATATCTACTGCGTCAGGGCGAATTTTTCTATACAGAAATCAGACATATAAAAACGTGTTTATATATCGCAACCCTTTTTATGCTTCACATATTTTTATTTATTTAATTAGGGAAAATATACTATCAAAAACACAAGTGCTGTAGAGCTAAATTTTTCGAGGGGGAGGGGCTCTTTTGATGAGCATGAAAGTGTATAAATGTACGATGACGTCATGTGTATAGGCCTCATGACAAATTTGATTTTTGACCAAATTTCTGTAATCAACCCCCTAATAAGTAATTGTCTTCCAGCATTTCCATTTCAAGGAAATTTCCTATTAAAAAGAAATTTGAAGGAACTTTAGGAAAAAATAAGACGTTTGAAGGATTTTTCTGAAAAAACCAAATAGTACATGTGTTTAACCACTTTTATGCCCTAACTTCGGAAACTCGGAAAATTAAGATTATGAACGGGCAACTTTTAAGGACCGCTCATTATTTATCGTACAGGGGGAGGAGCAACTGGGGGGGCTTCAAATTTTTTAAAACCTGAAAGGGGGGGGCTTTGAAAAAATAGAGAGAGATGAAACTAAGGGCGGCTTTGAAAAGATTTACCAGTTTGAAAAAACATTTGTAGTAAGTTTTAAAAATGTATCACAAAACAACTTAACAACAAATAACAATGTTTATAGACCTTTAATATTCATAAATGGAAGCCAAATAAAAAGTCTCTTATGTTCATGTAAATAGACAATTCCCATTATAGACTAATTTTAGAACCAGACAAAGAGATGCAAATCATGATCAAGGCCGGATTTTGGTGAAAATAGTGGGGGAGGTGGAAAAAAATGTTAGGGGAAGTGCAGCTGTCTAGCTCACAACTCCCATGGAAAGTTAGGGCTTATTGTAGAACATTCCAATACCAACGAGATGAGGTATGCATATAGTGTACATATGTATCAGTGTATTAATGAATTATGAATGTATGACTCCAATCTTGCCCTAATCATTACAATTGCTACAAAGTTTCTTTCAAAGCATTGCATTAATTAATTAAGTAAGGGTACTTGACACAGAGATGAATGGCTATCACTGTTTCAATTTTACAGAGAAAACTTTCTTACGAAGTGTAGATCCTAAGCAACCATCACATTTTCACTTTGTTCCATCATTGAAACTTTCCCAAGGGGAGGTGTGTGACCTTTCAGGAGAGGTGCAAAAATTCTCAGGGGAGGTGCAAAACGATCTCAGGGGAGGTGCGCACCTCTACCTCCCCTCAAAATCCGGCCTTGATGCAAATACATTACCACAGCTAGAAAGAACATACTAAAATAAGTAAATTATTGCAAAGTTTGGTTGTGAAATGTTGTAAAATATGGAAAATATAGGGGGGGGGGCTTTGAAAATTTTACTTGTCTTAAAAGGGGGGAAATGAAAAAAATATTACAACTGTAAAGTTTCTCCTCAGTCTCTCCCTTTACAATAAATAATGAGCTGTCCCTTAACTCAAAAGTGAAAACATCATTAAATTTACATTTCAATTATAAAGAAAAATCATAGGCAGTGGGATGTTATGGTCGTAACGAAATTCTCGTTGCGAGTACGCGGACGACACGAGTACGTCACTGGCAATACAGTCATAGCCTGTTTTCCACTTCAACCGTATCGTAGCATTTTCTTTTGTGTCGAAGTCATCAGCCCCACTCTAGTGCTCAGGAAACAAAGAAATACGCTTCGGTACGATTGAAGTGGAAAACTGGCTTATGTCAGTTATAGTATAAATTGCAAATGATATTCAAAACGTTTTTATTTGCAATAGTCTGACACGATTTTGAGAAAATCTACGTAAATATGAAAGAAATTCTGAAGGAATTCAATACAGTTTTTGAAGGAAATTTTAGTCCAAATCAGGAAAAAATAAGCATTTTTCTATTTTGAAAGAGGAAGCACTGTTGACTTCTTAAGTTGAAGAATGACTCAGCCGCCCATAGGTTGAACAAGGGCATTTTAGAAGACATGAACTAATCTTTTGGGGGAGCATTGGTATCGTAAGAAATATTTTTACTGCATTAACTATAAGTAATTTTCATAAAAATACAAATAATTTTAAATCCTATTTTGAAAAGAACCTTTACCATGATGATATTTTATTTAGTGCAATTATAATCATTTGTCACAAAGCATAAAAATTTACCTTCAAAGCCATCGAAATAAAGCAAAATCAATGTTAAAATTAAGTCAATACATTGGCATTTGGCACAATCCTGACATGGCATTTGTCCTGACCATCTAATGGCATTTGGCAGTGGTGTAACGCTGATTATAGGTAGGGTTAATTAAAAAACTAAGGACCCCGAAAGTTAGGGGGCCCCATTACCCACGGTCTATCGCCCAGATATCATCAATCAATGGGAAAATACCAAATTAATAACGCGAAACAATAAAGCTTCCATCGACGACGTGTAGCTGATTTTTTATTCCATCTCCAATAGAACAAAAGTTATGCTTAAAAGTTGTTACATTTTGTTATTGTCTTTGTTACAGCCACGGATTTTTCCAGGACATTCTATAAATATTCAATATAAATCATATAAGATCAACACACACACAATATAAATATAAGAGCCCCCATAGCAAATATGCCTAAGGGGCCCCTCTTTCAGGGGTGGAAAAAATAATTTTCTTCCTGCGAGCACAGTAAGAAGATTATAAATTTCCTGCAGACCTGCAGTGTGTAGATTATGACCATGTCAAATATAGCGCTATAAATTGTAGCTACCTGTATAATGCACACGTGATTGGTGATTATGGTTTTAACTAAGGAATGATCATTCTTTGCACTTTTTGCAGTTTTATTTTGTGGGCAGGCTCACAGCAAACGCATGTTATCACTTATCATTTATCCTTATAATTATTGAAATAGACTAAAAAGAGTAATATTTTTGTGGTGTATATAGAATCTATTTACAAAGTCGAAGTGAACTACTGTAATAACTCACATAATACTGAGTAGGCTAGCTTAAATCATACAATTGCATCAACAGTTCGACTGCTTAATGCTTATACGTTTAACCAAATAGAAACTTTACGTAACACAGTGAAGTAGATATTTGCTTAACATGCACCCTATTGTGTAACGAAGGGCAATCTCGATTCTTGTGAGATGATTCTGTTTATAACTTTGCTGTTATAAAGTTTACTCTGCTCTCCTTTTCTTGTTACAAAATGCCAGTTTCCATGCCTGAAATACTTTGACAAGGCTGAAGATAAGATGCGATCAGCACCACCAAGCTCTGGGCCGTTGCAGGCAATCCACAGCTCATTGTTCACAGCTTCCTCGGACATACTTCTTAGTTTACTGTTGTGCGTATTGTAGCGCGAAATAACTGATTCAGCAATAGACTCAACAGTCATTTTGATTGCTGCAACAACTATTGCTTCAACTACCATCTCACAACCAACGTATAGTTCACCGCCACTGGTCAGAAATTTTTTTATTAAATCCTTGCTATCCATCTTTTGCAACTCTGGTATTGTTATTGCTTCTGTTTTTGATGCCAGTCTTCGTACGAAAATCTTGTATTGTCGAACTATCTCTTGGTTATTCACAACGCGGACGTTTCGCGAGATTTTCTTGGCGATTCGAACAAACTTGTCGGCATTAAGAACACCTAATAAAATATGTCCTTTCTCTCGAATCTGCATGGCTAAGGATTTCAGATCAGTCAAAAATCTTGTACTTTCAACCATTTCCAAGGCATCTTCGCTATAAACGTCTTCCCTGAAACCTTTCACAAGTTGGGTTGTCAAGTCAGCGAGTTTCCTTTCCGCGGCCATGACGGGGCTTGTGGTGGCATTATCTGCTTCTTGTTGCCGGGCTCTCCTCGTGTTATGAACATGCTGTTCTTCGTGATCCTCTCTAATCTGAG